AGTAATAATATTCCTATGTAGAAGATTGTCTGGATATTGAATGAATCTCCAAGCAAGCCTTGATCTAAGGGGTCCTATCCGTTGGACAGCTGAATGTAATCCCAAGCCACCTTCAGATTTTGGTTTACATAAAACATCCCATTCAACATAGTATAATCCCTTTTTGCCCATTCCTTTATGCCATATGAATTCCTTACAGAATTGATCAACTTGATGCAAAATTTTCATTGGAATCAAAGAATGAGTTGATAAAAAACTTGGTAAGGTTAGGAGAGAAGATTTAACCAAAGAGATCTTACCAACCATGGAAAGTTGCTTGCTTCCCCAAACATTTAGCCTTTCTAAAATAAGGTCTATCATTCCTTGAAAATCAAATGTTCTAAGTCTTCTTAGAGCCATTTTAACACCCAGATAAATCATTTCTTTCACCACATTGAAACCCAACTTCTTCTTTATGTGTTTCTTCATTGGAAGCTTCACCACCTTCCCAAATAAAATCTGAGATTTGGAAGCATGGATTCTCTGTCCAGACCAAGTGCAGAAATCTGAAACAATAGTTTTCAGTTCTTGGGCTGCTGTTGAAGAAGCTTGGAAAAAAATTAATACATCATCTTCAAACAAGAGATGTGTAATTCTCTGGTTTTTGATGTTAAACTAACTCCCAAATGCTGGCCTCTTTGGTTAATTGCATGGGAAAGTAGCTGAAAACACATTATGAACAAGGAGATAGTGGGCAGCCTTGACGAAGCCCACTTCTAGCTTTGATCCAACTGGATAATTTCCCATTTAAGATGAAGGAGAATCTGACATTCATTACACATTCCATGATAATTTTGCAAAAAGAAATTGGAAATCTATAAGTTTGTAAAACTTGAAACAATGTTGGCCACCCTATGCTATTAAATGCTTATTCCATATCTAATTTTATTGCCATCAATCCTTTCTTATCCTTTGAGGTCCTGAATTTGTTGAAGATTTCTTGAGCAAGTAAGCAATGTTCAGACATAGATCTCCTGGGGATGAAAGCAATTTGTTCTTCAGAAATGAGCTTGGAGATACATAGCTTAATTCTGTTGACCAACATGGTTGTAACCAACTTGTAAGTGGTTTGACACAAGCTAATTGGTCTGAAATTAGAAGGCATCGTCGGATGTTTCACTTTTGGGATTAATACTATCAAAGTATCCTTCCAATCATCTCTCATGTTTCCAGATTTGAAGAAGTTATCAATAGCTTTCCAAGTAGATTCTTTAACAATATTCCAAAAGAATTGAAAAAATGATGGAGTAACCCATCCAAGCCTGGGGATTTGTTTCTACCTTGCTGGAAAATAGCAGTTTTTAGTTCATCCTGGGTGAAATCAGTACTTAGGAATTTAATATCCATGGAATCAAGCTTTTTGTCATCAGGGAAATTTGGCCAACCTTCTAAAATACAATTTCTAGACTGCCATTTTCTTTCAAAGAAATTTTGGAAAACAGCTGAAATCTGTTCAAAGTCTTCCACCAAGACATTTTCATCATTCTTGATTTGTCTAATTAGATTCCCATTCCTCTTTGCTGAAGCAAATTTATGAAAGAAATTTGAGTTTACATCTCCTTCTTCTTGCCATCTCACCTTGGCTCTTTGATTTCACCATGTAGCAAGTCTTCCCAAAGTTATGTTTAATTCATTCACCTTAGATGTTAGTAATTTCAGCTTCTCATCTGACAGCCCACCTAGAGAGGCTTCTTCCAATTGGAGATCAGCAATCTCCCTTTTTAAATTTCTTTTAGTGAATTAAGGCACTTGCACTTGTTCTTGCTCCAGAAGAAAAGGGTCCTCAAAGATCTTTTAAGCTTCCTTTGTAAAACATCCATCTCATTACCATAATCAGTCTTCCTCTAAGCATTAGAAACAATACTTTTTGCTACTGGATATGATTTCCAGGTTTCTTCAAATCTAATAAAATGAGATTTGCGTTGAGATTCCAACATTTTGGAAGCTATAGGGCAATGGTCGGAAGCAATTCTTGCTAAATGTCTAACATGAGCCAAGGGAACTTGTTGAAGAGCAGCCGCATTGAGAAGACATCTATCAAGTCTTTCCCATATTCTCATATTTCCATCCTTGTTGTTGCATTAAGTGTACTTAGGACCAATAGTACCTAGATCATGAAAATTATTGTTAGTCATAAACATTTTCATTTCTTGAGGACCTTTTGAAAAAAGGAACCTCTTGCCACCTCTCTTATCATCATTAGATAATAAGCAATTAAAATCTCCTCCAACAATTGAAGGAATGTCTTCTTTAGTTGCTTTTTCAAGCATTCCCATAGACTTCTCCTCATCCGATAATCCTTGTTAGCATATACAATACCCACCATCCAAGAGCCAAACATAGGAGATTTGAGCATCCCAATGACGGTTTGAGAAGAATGATCCAAAACTTCAAAGGAGACCTTATTTCTATTCCATAAAATAATGATTCCACCTGAATTACCTTCAGCAGGATGGTGGAAGAAATCCCACTCCCTTCCAATAACTTTATCAACATCAAGTCTGTCAAAGCTTGAGATTTTAGTCTCTACAAGACCTATAAAACAACCTTCATTATCTTTTACTATCTCCTTGAGATAGAGGGAAGCCTCCTTCTTCTTGGCCCCCCTACAGTTCCAGAAAATGAGTGAAGCCATTAATTACCAGGAGGGGATGAATCCCCACCTTTATTTTTGTTTTTATTAACTCCTCTTCTATTCTTGCTGAATGTATCCACAGGTCCCAAATCCCTTCTTTGGATAACTTCAATTTACCTGAAGCTGTCTTTAAAACTTTTTCACCTGTATTAACATCACTTGTTATTACCAAATTTTGCTTGATAGGATTATCAGGAGAAGTGCAAGCCACAATGTTTGGTGGCAGATTTCATGTCTGAACCTGTTCAACAATAACATCATTCTCCATAGTATCTCCCATGTTTGTTTCATCCAATATTTCTTCAAGGATACTGAAATTGTTCTTCAAACTTAATCCAGAATTGTTAAGTGAGTTATCCTTGGCATCAGGATCTATACTTTGAACAACAACATTGCTTTGTGGTTCAATGATCTCTCCTTCTTCTATGATGGATGCAATCTGGATCGAAGGATTCTTCTGATTTTCAGATTTCTGATTTGAAAAAACTGCAGTTTTACCAAATCCTTTATTTTTCCTGAATTTGACCTGTATCCAAGGTCCTAATTCATCATGCTCATTAGAATCACCTTCTTTATGACATATCCTTTCATTACTTACATTTGTAACAGGAACAAATGTCTTTGTAGAAGTGTTATTGGTAAGAGGGCATGTGTTCTTCAGATGTCCAATTTTGCCACAATGATAGCAAAGAGATGAGATCTTCTCATATTCAACCTTTTGGAATGATCTACCATGCTTTCCTTCAATCCAAACTCCTTTGGGTAATTTTTTATCCAAGTCAATGCGAACACAAACTCTGGCATACTCCCTCTTGTCCCATTTAAATGAATTGCCATCTAGATATAAAGGAACTCCAATCATAGATGCAATTCTAGAAATATTATGTTCATCCCAACAGTGTAAAGTTAAACATGGCATGCGAATCCAAACAGGTGCTGAAAGACCTTTAAGAGATTCATGATTGAATGATGGGGACCATTTATCCAAACCAATAATGTTTCCTCCAATAAATCATGAACCTCCTTCCATGATTTCTTCCACAGCTTCTGGCTTGGTAAAGGAACATAAGATCCAATTAAGACCCAAAGTTGTGAGATGAAAATTACCAAATTTGGACCATTGTCTCCGAAGTTCTCTGCTGCAGACAGGAAAAGGGATGTTGCTTCCCAATACTTTAATAACCAGTGAATTCCTTAGATTATGTGAATTTGCATTTTCACATTCTGAATTCATAATCACTGTAATAACATCATCAGAAACAGGAATTGATTTCATATCATAGTTAAGCTTGATATGCTGGGTCTTCTTCCATGCATTAGGGAAGCTTTCTTTAGGACCAGTCTCATTGTCATTTGCTGTAACCTCATAGATGTTCTTCAATCCATTATCATTCTGAACCTCTCCCTTCTTAGATTGATCCTCAAGACAACTCTTATCAGCATTACCAGATTGCAAGAGGGACTTAACAGGAAATCTAGTGCAAAGAACAGAAGAACGCTTATCATCAGAATGGGATTTATTATTAACTTCATTCAGGTTATTCGCATTTATCTCTGGCCATAGGTGAGAGATTGCATTTGAACAACCGAAGTTATTAACAAAAATCTTCATTTCTGATGAAGAAGCATCGAAACCATTGGAATTCTGATTCATATTTGCACTCGATTTCTGAAGTCAAGGAGTAATGCAATCAGTGCTCGTCATAACGTTCTTATCTTTACCTTCAACAACTTTGACAATCTTCTTCACCGGTGAGTCGCTTACATCTCTGATAACCAGAGGTCTTGCTGACATCTTCACATGAGCGTTATTTGAATCCGAACGCAGAAACGATTGGCGACGATCTTCTCTGATAAGTCAATTTGATCTTCCAATGCTGTTATGCACATCGCCTGGTGGTCGGCGGCCTTGCGCCGTCATCACCAAGAACCGGCCGTGAGGGTTGCTAAAAAACCGCGAACACAAAATTCTGGCAGTTTCTCTCTCTAACGGCCAAGGAGGCTTCTTCTTCAAGGAGCAGTTTTATTGAAGGAGTGCTATCTGTTCTTTGTAAATCATTTTGAACAATTTCTGTCCATACGTGCTTAGGTATACTCCCTACTAATCTTCTTACACTAATTGCATTCAGTAATCCTTAGGGAGAATAACATTCATTAATCCTCTCTAAATGCATCACATTTATTAATCATGAAAGCGCAACTTTTTACTGCTTGTGGTGCATTGGATACCTTTGTTTTTTGCAAACTTGGGAACTACTCCATGTCATCATTCATTGCTTACAACTTATCATTCCGCTGACACTAATTTGGTATATTTTTATTTTAGGTGGTTCACTCTTTCTTTTTGATAGAAAGGTGTTGAGATACTTTCGAAAGGACGGACATAATTGGAGGAAAAAAAAGGATGGAAAGACTGTGAAGGAAGCTCATGAGAAATTAAAAGTAAGTAAATTTTTATGACTCGTGATAAAAAAACTGATGATGTGAAATTTGAAATTTATAAATAAAAACAATTTTTAGATGGGTTTTTTAGCCTCAATGTTTTACAAGGCAACATTTTTTATCAATGCTTTTATTTCCTCAGATTACCTAATCTACTTATCTGAGACTTTCATTCGTCATCTGGATTTCAATATTGTTAAGCCTACTCATGTCATATGTAGACTTTCTTTAGCTGCTCAATTGTTTACCCACAATGTCCTTGATCACAATATTTCATAAGCTATGTTTTTGTTTTCCTTAAAGCCAGTAATATACGTCTTCAGCTGTTGAATTCTTCCTCGTCATGATTTCAAGATGTTGTCAAACCTGTATGAGTTTGTTCTTATCTGAGCTTAATTTATAAAAAAATTATTAAAGATGCTGAAATCTATTGAATTGCAGGCTGGGAGCGTAGATGTTTTGCATTGTTATTATGCTCATGGTGAAGACAATGAGAACTTTCAGAGGAGAAGTTACTGGATGTTGGAAGAGTATGGGAGCAAGTTTCTTCTATAGACTGTGATGTGTATTTAGTTTTGGTTTACTGACGTATTTGCATTTATTGGATATAGCTTATGATGCTATTGTATTATTACAGAAAAAAAACTTAGTCATCATGGTCATCTTTAACTCTTTGGGATAGTTTTGAGGACTTAGTATATATTTTTTTCTTACACCGAAGTTATCTTCTTAACACAGAACTAAGATTTGAGATAAATCAAATTATTATTTGAGGTAAATCTGATCTCATAGTCACTACATAGCCACCCAAATGCCTCTCCCCAGTTATTTGCTTGAAATATTTAAAAATTTCAGAGATTCTATTGCTTAATTGGAGCTTTAACATTTTTCTATATTAGCTCATTTTATTAATATGTGGATTTCGCCTTGTTTTTCTTTTGTTCTAGCGCTTTACTGTTCATGAACCTGTATGGCCATAACTTGTAACGACTAGTCATTTTCTTACCTGCTCTAACTTTTTTTATGCTGTTGGGCTGCTCGGCAAGAGCATATTTAAATAAATATGATGATACCTTTGCATTAATAACATCTGTAAGGCCATCAGTATTTACATGTGTCCATGCTTAACAGAGGTGAAATCTATTTAGAAAAAAACGTTATGAGTTCAAGGATCTGCGCTGGTAGATAGAAACATTTGCTAGCCATAAACCTTTACTAGATTTGTTTTACTTTTCAATTCTCATTGAAAACTGTGTTAACCTCCAATACTTTGTTAGTTCATCATACTTTGAGGTGGCGAATAATGCTCTACAATTTTATTAAACTATACCTTTATATAACGGAATACACTTTTTATGAACTCTCAAAAACTTGGTGAGCAGTTATTTGTTGAGATTCCAATGTCCTAGTATTTTTAATTTTTATATTGCTTCTTTTGGCAGGATTTGCAATCACTAGAAATCTGAATTTTTTAGGACAAAATTTGTTGTATGCATATCAACAAAGAATTTTTTTTTTGACGACGTGACACTTTATGATTTGAATACTTTTCCATTGATGGAAAATATGATGGCTGTTTGGCCTGCTAATTTCTTCCTTTATCAAAACCAAATCGTGGTATTGCTGGATTCATGCCATCTAAAAGCAAGGGTTCCCCTTCCAATGCTTTTTGAAACTTCCCTTTTTTTTATAATCTTGTTTTGTGCTCCGATTCCAGCCTATATGCATGTATTTGCATGTGTATTTGTGCGAAATGCATTTCTATATGCCAACTGCTGGAAATGTGCAAGTTTCCAAAGTATGAGGTTCTTCATTTGGCACCATGATGAATATTTTCATTTTACCAAATTCATGGTGTCTTAATCCAATGTTATCTGTAAACAACATAAACAATATGAACATAACCCTAAACAACCTGAGCAATTGTAGGATGCTTTTGGGTATATGGTTTACTAATGCAATTTTAGGATGAGATGTGCAAAGAAAAACATAAAATATCACAATTTGCAATCTTCAATTTTTAATGTAGGCAAAGATTAGTCTCTTTTAATGCAAAACTAAAAAAATTCAACTTAATTTGATGATGATATAAAATGACAAAAATATAAATTTCCACAAAATATTAAAGGACGAATATAAAATTTCTCAATGATTTATATTCACAACATGAGAATGAAAATCAATACTTAACTTAATGGGTCTCAAAAACCTACGCAAACCAATTATAAAATAGTCTAGATGGAAGTGCAAATAATAAAATGTGTTAGAAAAGATAAAAAAAAGCTTTGTTATAATAATTAGTTTAGATATAAAAACTTTAAAAATTGGGAAATATATAAAGCAATGTTTAAAATTGCGTATTCGGGTATTGAGGCGTTTTTCATTCGTGAGGCGAGGCGTAAGCCTCAAAATGAAAAGATTGCGTAAACATAAAATGATAAATTTTTTATATACTAATGAGTGAATAATATAAAATATAAAAAAGCATAAGATATGAAGTGAAATCAAAATATCTCAATAATAAGACAACATGAAATATAGTTCAACTCAAAATTCTATCTTTCCCAAATCCCAGTATTCTTTTCAGTAACATATAATTTCAATTTCTAAAAATAAATAACAATGACATATCACATAAGAACTCATAAGTCATCAGCACTGTCACCACTAAGGGGTTCTTCATTTGAATCATCATTATGGTGAACTGCTCTCTCCCCTTCCTCCTCTCCTATAGAGTCCAATGTCGGGCATTTACTTCAAGATTTATGTAAGTTTTATTATATATAGCGTGAGGCGTAAGCCTCATGCAAGTGAGGCGAGGCGGGCCTTAACTTTCCTCAACCAAGTTGAGGCGCAAGCCTCATAAAAAAACTCGAGGCGTAAGCATCGAGGCGTTTTTTATTGGAATTGTGCAAAGGCGGGCCTCAAGGCGAGCCTCATATTGAAGATTGTGGGAATACGACTGACTTTAGTGACCTTAGCACTCTAAATGAAAATAGATATTTCTATTTTTAACGACTTATTTAAAAATTGAAGTTAGCGAGGCTTTAAAGAAAATGAAGTGTGGAAAAACTATTGGACCTGATGATATTCCAATAGAGGTGTGAAAATTGGGAAGTCTTAGAAGATGAAGGAATTTTTTGGCTTGCTAATCCTTTTAATATTTTTGAAGACTAAAAAGATGCCAGATGAGTGGAGAATAAGTGTGTTTATTCCTATTTTTAAGAATAAAGGTGATGCATAAGATTGTGCGAATAAGTTGATGTGTCATACTTTAAAACTTTGGGAGAGAGTTATAGAGCATAAGTTACGATGTGATACTAATGTTTCTCAAAATCAATTTGGATTCATGCCGGGTAAGTTTACTATGGAAGCTATTCATTTATTGAGAGGGTTAATGGACAAGTTTAGAGAAAATAAGGAGGATCTACATATGATATTTATTAATTTAGAGAAGCATATGATAATATTCCAAGAGAAGTGCTATGGAGAGTTCTAGAAAAGAAAGGGGTTAATAGTGCTTATATTTAAGACTTTAAGTCATTAAAGATATGTACGCAGGAGCTGTTAGTTGTGTTCAAACACAGGATAGTTTGATCAAGTGTCTTCCTATTTTAGTTGGATTACTTCAAGGACCAGCCTTAAGCCCTTATCTTTTTGCTTTAGTCATGGATGTTCTTACTAGACATTTGCAGGAGGATGTACCTTGGTGTATGCTTTTTGCTGATGATATTCTTCTTGTTGATAAGACTAGAGAGTGCGTTGAAGGTAAACTCAAATTATGGAGGTCAACCTTAGAGTCTAAAGGGTTTCATTTGAGTAGATCTAAAATCGAATACATGGAGTGTAATTTTAGTAGTAATAGATCTAGTGCGGGGTTTGTGACTTTGAGCGATCAAGTCATTAATAAATGTACTAGTTTTAGATATATTGGGTCTATTGTTCAGAGTGATGGTGAAATAGATAGGGATATTATTCGTAGAATTCAAGTTGGATGGTTGAAGTGGAGGAATGCTTCGGGTTTGTTGTGTGATAGAAAAGTACCACTCAAAATTAAGGGAAAATTTTATAAGATGGCGGTGAGACTTGCAATGCTTTATGACGCAGAATGTTGGATATTAAAAGAGAAGCATAATATTAAGTTAAATGTTGCTAAGATGAGGATGCTCAGGTGGATGAGTGGATTTACTCTTAGATACAAGATACAAAATGAGCATATCCGTGAAAAGGTTGGAGTAGCTCCGTGATGGATATGATTAGAGAGAGTCGCCTTAGATGGTTTGTTCATGTAAAACGGCGGCCTTCCGATGACTTTGTTAGGATAGTAGATGTATTAGATTTGGCCTATGTTCACAAAGGTAGAGCTAGACCTAAAAAGACTTGGTTAGAAAATATTAGGAATGACCTTTTCTTATTAGATTTAAATGAGAGTTTGACTCTTAACAGGACATAATGGAGAAAAATGATTCATGTAGCCGACCCAACGTAGCGGGATTAAGGCTTGATGATGTTGTTGTTGGTAGTGCAAAGAATAGTAGTCACCAATTTGAGGGTCTAGGACTCAAGCCAAGTACAAGAAGCATTCTCTAAAATTTCTTATTAGCACTTGAAAAGTGCTTGAAGAATCTACATCAAATAATATATGCCCAATTATTGAGAGGAATTTAAAAATTTATTCAACCATAAACTGAATTTTATATTCTTTGTGAACCATATTTGTAATACAAATGACTAAAAGCAATAACTTCACAAAATTCTCCCAGATATGACTTAAAACTGCCTGTCTCAATTCAACGGCAAATTATTGGGTCAGGTGACCGGACGCGGAGATAGGTCCGGATATTAATAAAATATTATTTTAAATTAAGCGCAGGTAAAGCGCAAGTAAAGCGCAGGTAAAGTGCAGGTAAAGCGCAACTAAAGCGCAAGTAAAGCGCAGGTCAAAATGCGCAGGTAAAGCGCAACTAAAGCGCAGTCAAGCGCAGGTGACGCGGCAAATTTTTATTGGATGTCCGAACTTATTTTTCGCCTCCGGTCACCTGACCCAATAATTTGCCCAATTCAACACACTTGGATTCTAGCCTGAACAAAATTTCAGCTGCAGTTTTAGCGAATTTATAAGTTTCTACTTCAAAATCCCATTTACAGCAAATTCAACGCAAATTTTGGTCTCTATTAATGTATCAACCGATAGTATAAAGAAATCAAATAGCTGAATCACAACTACGTGCCAAAATCAGGAGAATGAAGAAGCAAACACCTAGCGGTGGCTCCAAAACATTTGAAACAAAGCCCAATTTTTTTGCTATAGTGAATTGCCAGAAGGAGCAAGTCCATAGAGCTGCATAATTGCATAAATGGCTATTCAAGTTAACCAGTGGCAACAGTGAGGTTTCAACAACAATAGCAAGGATTAAATATGCAACTACAAGCAACCAGCAACACTCTAACAGTAGTTTAATGGTTGTTGAATTAGAAAGTAGGGGAATCCATCATAAGCTGAAACGGGGAATCAGATACAGCTGAATTAGGGGATCGGACAGTTAAATTGAAACAACTTGCATTAATAAATTAAGCTTAACTAGGTAGTCAAAATACTAGAGAATGCTTCCCATTCTCATAGGATCCATCATCATAGGCATGTTATATAAAAAAGACAAAATTATAAACAGAAAAATAAGATATAGAGACATCTAGAAACCAAAAGAAAAGAATTTTGGATTTGTATCATATGCTATATCTTATTTTCCTATAGCTTTTGTTGTTTGAAATGCATTTATAATTTGGCCTTTTCCATTTCCATTTTAAATTTATATCTCTATTTGGCTTCTCTGTTTGAAACCCTTGTCCTCATTCTCTATTAATCCTCGTGGAAGTTGGATTGTTTTATGGTTTTTTGCATAGTTAAAAAATGGCTTTGTTTAGTTGACCCTCAACCTTTTTCATTTTGGTCGGAAAAAACAGTCTTTATATTTTAAGTCTTCTAGCTATATATTTTGTTGGTAGCGTACATTTTGGTGTTGCAAAGAAGTTGTGTGTAATCTGGTTTATACCCTTTCAGTTTGAATAAAATATATACAACTCTCTATACATGCAGTCATAAGGTCATTAATACTTTCCCAAACATGCTATTTTGTCTTATTTTGGAGTTATTAGTAATTTTTTTCTACTTTTTTGCAGGGAATTAATGCACATTGTTCTTGTTCACTACCGTGAAGTCAAGGTTTTAATTCTTACAAACACTTGATTTTTTAATCTAGTTTTAGCTCAAAAACCAATGTCTTTGTTTCTTTGTATGCATTTTCCGCTATTTGAAAGATAACCTATGTCCTGAAGGTAGCTCATTTCTTTGTTTCTCCATATGGCCGTGATTGTGAAACATAAATATAATTGTCTTCTAATTAATTTTCGTGTAAGATGTGACATAAATTTCTACGTATGATATCTTATTGCTGCTCATGTTCTTTATATAGAATAGGAATGTTTGTTGGGTGATAATTTCATGTGTTATACGTCTTCTAGATGATTTTGGTGCTTCTATGCGTATGGCTAGTTGTAAGACATTGGCATCCTGTAGCACAAGATACTTTGTTAATAATTACTGAGCAAATGGCACGAGTGAGCACTTTGTTTTTTGGAAATACGAAGTACAAAGAGACATCTTCAACAAGCATATGCAATAAACTCTAACAGAAAAGCTAAGAATGATATCCTGTGTGTCTGATTTAGAAAAGTCTTTTCTGGATTATCAGTTTTTCTCGTGTTTTTTTTAATATTTACCTATGTTCATGACTTGATAAATTGGTAGGGCTGTGCGCGATGGAGATGAGAGATATTGATGCATAAGAAAAGCTTAAGTATATTGATGGATATAAACAAAGAAATGCACTCTGCCAGAAATGTTTGGGAAATTGAATGTGTTTGGAGGGTTATGAGTGAAAGAAGATATTGATACATAATTTTTGTGTATTATTGGGCTTGTTGGTATATTATATTTGTTTAATTCTTTTCCAGTAAATGTGTAAAGTTAAAATTTACATGCTGCTTCTCTGCGTTCAAGTGGCAGATAGTTTAGTTTTAAAGTTGTTGTAGCTAGGACCTACAGTGGCAACCTAGTTCCTGAAATGTTTGGAGGATTCCATGTTTAGATTTTGGATACAGAATGCTCAACAACCTAAAAATTTTTTTTTTTGGTTAATTATTTGAGTGTGGATCCACGTTATCAAAGGCAAGCCTAGGAGCCCAAGCTATGTGAGGCAACGAGGCCTTAAATACCTTGCTAAGTGAGGGTCATCATTAAGGCACCACCTAGATGAGGATTATCATGTAATCCCTCAGACAGTCGACTCTATTATGTAAACATTTTTAATTATTTCTGAAGTATGCACAACCGTATTATGAGATTGAGGGATACACATTCAATGATGGGGAAGAATATGGATGATGAAGGAGAATGAAAAAAATGGTAGCAAAGATTAGATTAATCATATGCTATGGAAATTATATACTTACCATTTTATACACTTGTTTAACTTTGAAACATAACTTTTGGTTATTGTGGACGTTTTGTCTAGAAAAGTTATTTTGACGAGGATTTGTTGTTTTGGTTTTTAAAATGACAAAACCCTTGAAAATATTTTTTTTTCATATGGAATTTTAATATATATATTTTTGATAATTATTATATTATACTTTTCAAATGTATTCTCGTAATTAAAATATGTAATTTTTTTAGAGCCTCACATCTCCTTGGCAAGTGTCCAGTCTTCCTTGCACTTTGGGAACTAAGCTACCATGTCATCTTAAGGGTGCCTAATGTCTTCAATAATTTTGGATATGGATAGGATTTTTTGCTTTCATTTTATTCAATTAGTTCCACATCTTATGCAAGCTGTGTTCTTTTGGGGATTAGTTTTAAGACCTTTTGGTTGATTGTTCATTTTATTCAGTAATAGAAACAGTTCTTACGGTCAGTGAAGAATAGACTGACATGCGTTTAATTCAGAGGTTTGGTTCTCACTTCGCAGGGTGGCAAATCAAGTTATCTTCAGCAAAGAGAGGATGGGGAATCTGTTAGGAACTCAAATCCTGGTAGTCCTGCATGTTCTAATTCTTCTGTTAATCTAAGCCAAGTCCCTTCACAGGTTTCAGATTATGGAAGCCCTATTAGCACACAACATTCAGAATATGAAGATGCTGATTCAGGTATGACTTGAATTCCTTCTTCCCATAAATTATGCTCCATTTGTAAAAATATAAATAACTGATTCATATTTCAATCATGCATCCTTCTTCCAGTGTATCTAAAGCAAAATTCGATGCAGCAGATAATTACCAATCAAGTTCCAGATACCACTCTATCCCTGAGATGCAGCAGTATGGATCTTGGATGAATGTTCAACTTGCAAATACTTGTGCTCCAGCTCCAACGCGGCTTGACCATTGTAAGATTGCTACCTTCTATTTAGTATTTGCCTTAGAATCTTGATGGATTGATTGCTAACCAATGTGCATTTAAATCTTCCAGGTGACTATCCGGGAGTGCAGGCTGCAATTCCTGATTTCAAGTCTTTCACTGATGCTCGAGATAGTATGACTAAAGTTGAGAATCCATCTGATGCTGGATTTACATATTCTGGATTGAGTAAAAAGACGGATACAGCATCTTGGCATGAGATCATGGAAAGTTGTTCAACAGAGTTTCAGACCCCTTTTGATTTGTCTATTTCTTCCAAGTGGGCTACTACTTCAGAGGATAATCCTGAGCGAAATTCTTTTATGAATCAGGATTTTTTGACAGGTGACATCAGCACTCATAAGGAGGATGGCACAACATTGTTGAGCAACATAGTGTGGCAGGTATATATTTGTTTTGCATGTCTTACCAGAAAAAAAATAGTTAAAACACAACAAATTACATTTGTATTTAAAGTGATAAAATGGCAATTTCCAAAAAGGATGCTTACAAATGCAAGTTTTCTATATCATCTCATTTTATATATTTGTATATAAATCAAACTTTGATTGCTTTATTTTATTCCTTGGAACATTGAGGGCACTAACAATTCTAGCCTCGATTCATAATTCATTAAAGATGACCTACAAAACCTAAAGCCCTTGAAATCTTAAAATAGGGGGATTGATTAGTAATCTTGATATCTCATAGTGTATGAAACCAATAAGACTTTCTTACTGAATTTTAAGATCCATACCATGTGGTGAAGGCCTCATTAGAACCTCATTCCGTGTCAGAATTTTAGACTTCTACATGTGGATATATAATTTGGAGACATTTAAATTCTTGCAGAAATCAGCTAGAATGATAAGGGAGGTGAGTATAATGCATTTTTGTTGCCAAGATGCATTTATATTCTAAAGCACTGTCCTAGAAGTTGTTTAAATGCAATGAATTTTAGGCAACACTAAATGAAGAAGAATAACACTAGGCATCATCGAGATTTGTAAGGTGATAAATAACTGAAACAATAGGTTGGACAACGCTAGCCTTTAGAGGCATAAAGGATGTGTACTATCCTCCGCTGACTTTGTGCCATTTATTTCTTATCTTCTTAATGCTATTTTCTTTTGTTTAAATATATTTGAGTTGTATGAAGATTAACTACTTATTGGACTTGAAATTGTTAGAGACAGGCTGAAGGATAATCTTATTGGAATGAAGGCATAGATTTGATGACGAACATGAAAGTTGAAGCGACTTTTTTTAGTAATGGACTTGATATGATTGTGATTGAAGTGATATCTTGATTGGATGTGGTAATTTTCTTAGCATGTTAGCTAACTAGAAGATAGTTTCTAAAATATAGAAGGATATGTAGGATAGACAAACATTCCTCAAGTATAACAGGATTATCTGTTTAAATAAATTGCTTGGGTGATTACTTATTCAATGGAATGGGAAAAGCTTTGCAGGGTTATCTATTCGAGTAAATTGCTTGGATTGTTATTTATTTAATGGAATTAAGAACTAAAATGATAAAAACTAGAAGTCACAACAAATGAGGTGATAATTTTTTTTGTAATATAAAATTTTGATAGAATTGTGGCCATAAAGCCGATTCTTCCAATTGTAATTTGTCTTATTTGTGAATTGCATCTTGTCTTTCTGTTGTAGTATTTATTACAAATATTACTTCTCTGGCTTACTGTATACGGTAGATGATGGGATACTGCAATTACTACAAAATGGTTTGTATTATTAATTTTGTGGTGCAATTGTAACGTTTTTACTTAAATTTAGGGATGGGCTGTTGAACCACATGTGCTATTTCAACACTGCCCGTTTTACAAGTTTATTTTGTTAAGGTCAATGTCAAACTGTTCGTTAAAACAATTCTGAGCTTGACTTGATGACAGCTCTTTTACTTGGCGTGTTATTTTTTCCACCAAAATCAGCTTGGTATCAGTTGCAGGACAAATCTGATTTTTATTTTTGCAATAGATTAGGTCATGTGTGAATTTGGTGTTGTATTCTCAAGAATGACTTCATGGTCATTATTGTTAGCTTTAGTTTTCTGAATGATTCGAATTGTGGGGGCATGGTTGTTGCTTATGTCTGACCCATTCTTGCCACCAACATAGAACCAAAATTCTTGGGCTTGTTTTCATTAAAGAAAACAACAAGTTTCTTTTTTAGGGAGATGATTTTGTACTATGTTTGAAAGTTCAATTTTTCCATTTTGTGATTTCTTCTTTTTTTCTTAGTACTTTGTTTGCTGGATTAAGGATTATTTATCTTTCACTCCATTTTGTGCGTTGTTTGAAGCTAAAAAGAGTGCTTTGCATAAATGACTTGAATCTGCTTGATGAGAATGTGCATCTGGTTATTTATAGCAACAGTGAGTTGATTGCATAGGTGCTAGCACCTTGGAAAGTATGTGTCCAGTCATAATGATTGATTGGCAAACTGAGCTTTAGGGTGGAAGGTTGTATGCATATGGTACATTATATATTTCTCCATTACTTTGAGCTAGTCTACCAATGTTGTCTCTCAGATATTCTACAAAACATGTTTTGTGAGTGTATGAATCCTGTACATGATAAAGAATTGTTCAGGCCTTTTAAAATCATGCTGTAATTAAGGACTTTTCACATTGCTTGGTGACTAACCTTGCATCTCCATTCTTGGTGAGTTGGTAGGCTAGTTATCTCCATTCTAATGTCTATCTCCACAATATTATTATATTTTCTATTAGGGTTCAAAAAGGCGAAATTAATAATTAAGGCGTTTTGCCTTATTAAGACTAGGCTTAAGCCTCAAATAAAAAGAAAAACTTAAAAAATAAAAAAAATAATTTATAAATATGTCATAAATCATCATCAACAACAACAACAACATCAAGCCTTTATCCCACTACGTGGGGTCGGCTACATGAATCCTTTTTCTCCATTTTGTCCTATTAAAAGTCAAATTCTCGTTTAAATCTAATAAAGAAAGTTCATTCCTAATATTTTCTAACCAAGTCTTTTTAGGTCTACCCCTACCTTTAAATATGTCATAAATCATCAACAAATTTATTTTTTTCATCATCATTAACCACAAAAATATATAATAAGGAAAAAAGATCTCAATATTAAATGTTAATCTAAAGTGAAATTGGGAAACTTATTATAACATATGTTCAAACCATAATTGAATATGGTTCAAATAACAACTTCAAACACATTTTTGAATCTTGTTCAAAACAAATTCGAACATTGAACTCATGCTTGAATCTTTATAATGGTTCAAACTATATTCGATAATGGTTCGAACAATGTTCAAACCGTGCTCGAATAATGTTCGACCTTGTTATATTATGGTTCAAACCGTATTTGCTTTTGGTTTGAACTACTTTCGATCATGATTCAAATAAGGTTTGAACACATATTCTAAAAACAATGAAGTTATATGCATTTGAACAACAACAACAACAACATCAAGCCTATATGCATTCGAACATGTTCCCAAAAATCATTCGAGATAGACTTCTTAAATGCCTAGAGGCATAAAGCCTCAAGATGCGTGCCTTGGATAAAAGGGCATAAGCATCCCTAGGTGGCACATGCCTTGAGGCATTTTATGTGCACCTCATATCAAGGCATGCCAAGGTGTATGCCTTGAACGAATTTTTAAATCATGTTTTCTACACTCTTTAGCATCATCCAAAAGCCCTAGACTCCCATGCATAGATTTGAAATACATTTGGAAGCCCTTTGGCTTTTTTTATTTTCTAAAACCTAGTTTGCTCAAACCAACCTCTATAATCTCGTCGCTTCAATTCACAACACCATAAACCATAGAGCTTTGATTTACATCATAACCTAACAATACATAAGCTATTCCACCCATGAAAGCACCCTTTGGCCTTTCCCACAAAAACATAAACCCTAATTAGTTGTTCTCACAGTTACACCTTTCTAAGGCTAAAAAAAACCTTTCTAAGGCTACCATTGCACTTCCGACTATCATCATGAAGACTCCTAAATTCAGCATTTAATGTTTGGAGATTGCAAAACATCATTTTCAATTCATGAATCTTAGAAGATGAGAAATCAAGAAAATGAAAAGCCAATTTTTAAAAAGTAGAGGCATGCATTTAAATCATCACCTTATGTATATATGCTTTGCACTTCTATAAATAACCTTTGATGGAATAGCATGATTTGTTGGATTGATGTTGGTTTACATGCTTTGTTCATAATTTTATTGGTAAGATTTGGTGGCATTCTTATGAGGAACTTGATGGCCTTCCATTAAAATGATGTTAGAAATTCCCCTCTTACACACTTTATGCTAAGGCCCCTCACTTGAATATTCTTTGCATAACAAATACAAAAAAACATTGAATCAATGTTGATCCTTGATGTAAGCCTGTGATAATTGAAAATTGTTGGATTACTCCACTATTAATTTCAATTCTATGATCTGTCAAATGTATATTTATTAATGTCAAAATATTTTTGGCCATGCCATTTTTGCCTTAATGTGCGTTAAATTAATTCTCATGATACTCTATCTTATGCCTTTTCATGACCAATAAAAATTATATGAAGATCATTTATTTGTTCATTGTACTAATCAATTAATTGTCTTAACATAAAAAATATTTCCATTGTAGATCTTCCTAACATAAAATTAAATTTGCTCTTCAAAATTAATGTAATTTTCTCAAACTTATATTTCATTACTTGCTTCCATAGCTTCATTTTTGTAACTCGTAGTTTTGATTCCTTTATAATTTGCACAACCTTGAACATCGCCTTTGTTTTTAGATATTGGTATGAAAATACTTCTCCAATAATTTGGTATACTCCTATTCTTCAAAACTCTATTACAAATATCGATTACCCAAATAACTATAATATACCTATAACTGTCCCAGTGTCAATTGCTATCTTGGAAGAAGCTAGAGCCTTCCTCACTTTTATGCATCTTTTTTAGATCCAACCCTCTTCACTTTCTTGGCTTAATATATAATATACCTTATATATTTTTTGTAACGCTTTTTCAGAACGGTTTTTTTAATCTCTTATTTAATAGTTTTTCAAAGTAATATTTTCTTCTTCTTTGATGCTTTATCTCTAACCAAATCCTATTCTATTCACTTTTAATGCATTTAACTTGCTCAAGATCTATAAATCTTTTATCTCTTATATTAACTATTTTATATGCCTCATTTTCTTTTTATGTAGTACCAAGCCTATTTTATAAATCATAAGTTTTAGTTTTTGCTTTCCTTACTATTTTTGTAAAGACTTCTAGCTTTCTAATAATTATTATAAACCTTAGTTGTATTCTTTTTTTTTTTTCCTTATTTTGAAAGCACTTTTTTTTCTTCTTATAACCCTTTGTATCTCCTCACTTAGCTACGAATTTTCGTTATCACTCTACAATCTATTTCTTTATTCTCTTAGAATTTATGCAACAATTATCCTATTTTGTACCATCTAGATAGTGGTAAAGAATTATTCAATCTTGAAATGCCTTTCTTGCCGAAGCCTAATCGTTATGAATACATGTTCCGGTAAAAAACAACAGTTATTAAATTGTTTTTCTTTCTTTTCTTGCTTAATCACAGTTTTCTGATAATGAGGCTGGATCTCTTGTTGCATCTAGTACTACGGTGGAAAATAGCCATGCTACAGAAGAAAGTTTCAACCAACCATCAGACCTATCTAACAAAAAAAGTGAAGGACTGACTAAAAATGACAGCTTCTCTAGATGGATGAGCAAAGAACTTGGAGAAGTGGATAACTCACAGATTAACTTGAATTCTGGACTATTTTGGAGTTCCCTTGAAAGTGAAAGTGTTGTTGCAGACTCTAACTTGTTGAACCAAGAACAGTTAGATGCATATTTGATGGGCCCCTCACTATCGCAGGATCAGCTTTTTAGCATAATTGATTTCTCTCCAAACTGGGCATACGCAGATCTTGTCACTAAGGTAAGTAAACGTAAACCCGTCAACTTTTATGTGAATTAATTAAAGATTTTGTTGGATATTGTTGTAGAATCTCCTTTCAGGTAATGAGCGGATGATGTAATGGGATTGTTTTTTTTTTCCTCTGAGTGAAACAGGTTATAGTTAAGGGAAGATTTTTGGTGAATGAAGAGGATTTGCAGAAATACAAGTGGTCTTGTATGTTTGGTGAAATTGAAGTGCCAGCAAATATTTTGGCAAATGGAACTCTGTGTTGCCATGCTCCACCACATAAGTCTGGAAGGGTTCCATTCTACATTACCTGCTCAAATAGAGTGGCCTGTAGTGAGATTCGAGAGTTTGAATATAAGTTGAATTTGCCACAAATTGTAGGAACCAACGATCTTTCTAACTCTACACTGCTGTCACGTTTTGAAAAGTTATTGTTATTGGATTCTGTGGATTACTTAATTCCTGATTGTGGTCACCTCAATGAGAGATCTCATGCGGATTGTACTATTTGTTCTCTGATTATGAAAGTTGATGATGAAGTTATTGACTTATTCAAGCACAACCCTGATGAAGACTTGTTGCGCATTGCTACCAAAAACAGAGCTCTAGAATCACAAATGAAACGGAAACTACATTTGTGGCTTCTTCATAAAGTAGGGGAGGGTGATGGCAAGGGTCCGAATGTGTTGGACAAGGAGGGGCAAGGTGTACTTCATTTAGCAGCTGCTCTTGGTTATGATTGGGCTATAAAACCCACAGTAGCTGCTGGTGTTAATATCAATTTCAGAGATGTTCATGGCTGGACTGCCATGCACTGGGCAGCCTTTTGTGGAAGGTAGATACTAACATTTTCTTTTGCTCTTTCATGTCTTGATGCTCTCTTGTGCATTGCAGCTTTCCTGTGCCTTTCTGATTTCTAACTCTTGCATTGCAGAGAGAGAACAATTGTCACTCTCATTGCATTGGATGCATCCCCAGGAGCATTAACAGATCCAACCCCAGAGTTCCCCACTGGAAGAACTCCTGCAGATTTAGCTTCTCAGAATGGGCACAAGGGGATTGCTGGTTTTCTGGCAGAATCCTCTTTGACTAACCATCTTCGAGCATTGAATTTGAAGAACTCTGAAAACCAAAATTTGTCTAAACCTTATGGTTTATTGGGTTTTGAAAATGTTTCAGATAAGATTAATGCTCATTATTTAGAGGGGGAAATACAGACTTCACTAAGTGCTGTCCGAAATGCTACTGAAGCTGCAGCGCGTATATTTCAGGTTTTTAGAGTGCAGTCATTCAATAGAAAGAGAATCGTTGAGCATAGTGATGAAAAATATGAGATGTCAGATGAACGTGCTCTCTCACTAATTTCTCTAAAGCCTTACAAATCAGGGCAACATGATACGCCTGTACATGCTGCTGCAATTAAAATACAAAACAAATTTCGTGGCTGGAAAGGGCGAAAGGAGTTCTTGATTACTAGACAGCGGATTGTCAAAATTCAGGTGTGTTGTTAGGCACTCATTCTTTAATTGCGGTGGTGAATCTATTTTCCTCTTTAAATATATAGGGTTTGGATTATGTATTGGTTTGAATGATCATTTCATATTCGTTGTTTGATCAATAACTGATTCATTGAAAACAGCAATTTCTTCGTGCTCCATATTTTTCTGCATGGGAATGCTCTTGCAATTGTATCCTGAAAAGTATATGTCATGACTTATTAAGTACCTAGTTATAATTTGGCCAAATGACCATCCGTAGTAATGGAGTATTGTGTCCAGCATTCTCGTTGTAACTTCATTGTTATATAAAACAAAGTTGCTCTAGCTGTTAATGTAATGAATGGACGCGTGTGTACAATCTGTTGTCATGTGCAGTAAATATGTCTTTTTCCTATTTGTTGATTAGGATCATATACTTTGGTTTATGTATCAATTCAACCTAGAAACATGATACATCTTCTCAATGGCTAAGACAGCGTGGATTATTGAGCAAAGCTATAGTTAATACCAGTGGGGACTCTTATAAAGTGGCGATATAGTTTGTTTGATGCTCATTTATAGCAACTAATCATGGGATTCTCCGGAAGTGGAAGGGCAATTTTAAGCTTGTAATTTTCATCTTATGAATGTTTTTAGGGGCTTTTGTTGCAAAACTCTAGCAGATTTTCTGAGTATGGTAGACTTTTTGGATGCAATATTTTTATTTGTCTTGTGCGAGATTTTTGTAGACTTGTGTGGAATTTGTTGACTTTTAAGGCATAAATATTTTGTTAAAAACAAAATTTTATTATAAGTATGAGTTTTTTTTTAATAAAAAATATTTTGATTCGAGTAAAATTCTAGTTGGACATGTTATTTCTTTTGTTTACAAGAGTTAGCTCTTTGATTAAGTTGAAGACTTAGAAGCAAGGCTTTCAAAATCAGACCGAACAACAAATTGAAAGAATGAGAGATTAGCGGTTCAATGGTCGAACCGTGGTCGAACTAGATGGCATAATAAATGCTTATTATATTTAAATATTATAAAAAATGACATAACCATTTGTAAATGTGTAACAAAAAATGAACATAATCATAATATGAAGCAATTAAAAAATATAACAAATAATTCTGTAAATTTAAAATTAAATACATTATTATTTTGAGCAACTGACCTCTTTGTAATCATAACTTGAGAGATGAAATAAAAATTTCTCTTGAGATCTTATAGTTTATACCTGCAATTGGTGAAACTCTGAAAATAAAATAAATATAAGATAGTTATTATAATTGTAAAGAGTATAAGCTTTACCTTATTTTACCTTAAGCCATCCGATTTAATCTCAATGGCTCAAAACATCCTTTAAATGAATCAACCGGTTATTCATAATAGGAACTGGTCTCGCGGTCCAGCGGTCGAACTGCCGGTTCGAACGGGCCAATGCCAGTTCTCTGCGAAACCAGCTTAGGAGCAAACCATAATCGGCCGGCCGGCCAGTTTGTTGTTCAACCGGTTGAACCGGTCGGTATGGGCCAATTTTTAAAGCCTTGCTTAGAAAATTTCTCAATAAGTTTTCTCCTTGTACTAACATGAAATTGATTTATTATTTTGTTGATTCTGTTCTTTTATGTTTTTTCTTTATTTAGCATGCGAAATTGCATTATTTGATTTATTGTGTTATTGATTTTATTAAAACAAGATAAAATCTAAGTTTCATTTAGAGCATAATTTTCAGTTGGTCATCTGATTTTAATGTTTTTAAAATTTATGCTTATAATTTCTTCTAGAAGGCCATTAGACTTTTTATCTATATTTTCTTTTTATGTTTTCAATTTTCATGAATAGTAACAAGTAATTGTTAACTTAGTATTTGTAACCTTTGAATTATGTTGAGTTTGTTGTATGATTTTGAGCATCTATGATAGATTTGAAATAGAAACCCTTATACTCTAAAACATCCGATGTTAAATTTTGTATCAGAACTTAGAGATGCATCACAATGTCTTCTAAACTTATGACATAATAACCAGGCAAGTTAACAAAATCATAAATTCTATAATTTAAACAAAATCAGTTTAACTATGATTATAAGCAATTTCAATTATGGTGCTAATAAATATATTTCTGTATTTGATGGGAGGTGTAATCCTAAAGTATATTCATATTGTTCATAACTCGGATATCTTCACATATTGTTGAATTTGCTGAAGTAAAATTTATAAGACTTGCACATTATTTTTAATGAAGCGTTTTTATTATAACAAAACAAACCTATATGGCCTGGTATGAAACCTAAATGAGGATGTGGTTTTCAAATGATTGCAGATTTACATTGAGGGTGTGGAATTTTCATTTGAATTAAATTTTTTTTTCTTGTTTTTTTTTTCTTTGCTAGTAGTGAATAATTGGTGATGATTAAAGAGTGTGATTTATAAATTTTGTGAGTTTGTTGCATGATTTGTCCTTCTCATAATTCATCTACATTAGAAGCCTTAGAATAGATCTACATTAGAAATCCAAAGGCGAATTATGTCATGAGTGAGGGCCAGCAAGCAAATCAGTTGTTCTTAATTAGCGTGTTTTGCTTGGAGAATCCGAAGGTTTGTACTGAATAAAAAACATAGTTAGTCTTGTTTGTTTTGCTTGTAGTATCTGGAAGGTTTGTGCTTAAAAAACGTGCTTATTTTTGCTTGAAAATTTTGGAATGGTTATTGAATCTCTTGCTAATATTTCATTGATATATTTTCTCTTATTCTTCTCTTGATGTTCAAGCTTTTAATCTGTTTGTATTGCTCATCTTGTTTGGATAAAATCACACATCATGTTGCTTATGGTAGAAATTACGTTCAAGTTCGTTGAGGAAACTCTTTACAATGATTCTTTCTACTCAATACAAATAAACCTATGACTGCGCAAAATTTATCATAAATTAATTATAATCAACTTAAAATGTGATGGTCTAATTTTATGAGCCACATTCCTTACTCTAACTCACTTGTTTTGATCACCGTTACTGATTCCTTTGTGTGTCATCTCCAGCCCTTTAAGGTGGTATTAAATTAAATTTATTCCCACTTTCTTCGTCTGTCTTGTTTCCTTTCTTCTTTGCCTTCTTACTAGTTAATTGTAATTACTGAACAGGCCCATGTCCGTGGTCACCAAGTGAGGAAACATTACAGGAAGATTATCTGGTCGGTGGGAATAGTTGAGAAAGTTATATTACGCTGGAGGAGAAAAGGAAGTGGCTTACGTGGCTTTCGATCTGAAGAGCTAATTGAGGGACAAAAAAATGAAAGGGTACTCAACAAGGAAGATGATTATGATTTCTTGCAAGTGGGCAGGAAACAGACTGAAGCTAGAATGGAGAAAGCACTTGCAAGGGTGAAGTCCATGGTTCAGTATCCTGAGGCAAGAGATCAGTATAGGAGACTTGTAACCGTAGTGACAGAACTGCAAGAATCTAAGGTAAATTCTCTTTATGCATTGGGAACTCGTATACTTTCAAAGTTTTATGTTTTATAGTAGCAATTCGATGTATCTGAATGGTCTTAAACCCGACTCTGAATATTAAAAAATGTTGATAGAGCTCTGATCTAGGGCCCTAAGCATTGGTTTCCACTCCCAAGACTTGCCTTGTTTCATTGGTTTAAATTACTGGTCTTGTTTTAAAGGAAGATGTGATCCATCCAAAGATAATTTTTTTAGGGTTCATTTTGGATATCCTTTTCACAGCTTTGCATTTTAGGCCTCGTTTGATTAGGCTTTTTTTCTACGTTTCCGTTTGAATACGCCGAAATCAATCAGTATTTACTGTTTGGAATCAAAGCTTAACAATAATTCCTTTTTAATAAACATCGTTTTTTCGGCGGTTACAAAATTCTTTTCGTATCTGCTTCTTCGGTCACAAAACGGAGTTTTGGAAGCGAATTATATTTTTTATAATAAAATCTCAAAAGCAGAACTTCTAAACAAACAATTTAAAATTACTTTCAAGTATTAATAAGCACATTTAAAAATATTAGTCAAACATATCTCATTATTGAAACTCCATTTTATTAAACGGCTTTTTCTCAACCTCCTTTTCTAAAACTCTTTTTTATGTAAGCATAAACCGAATCAAACGAAGCCTTAGATGGCTCCCAAAACTCTGTTTGGCTACAACTGTTTATTGTTTTTTCAGAAATTTCCATTATGATAAATAAAATTTTCCAACCGATATACTCAAGTGTAGTAACTCTTTAAGGGTTTGTTTAGTGGAGCTACAATAATCTGTATAAGCTTCTGTAGAATTGTTTAGAGAAAATTGATAAATTTGGTGGGCCTTTCGGTGGCTTCCAGTTAGCGGGATTTGCAAGAACCGTATGGGAGTAGGTGAAGGTGGAAGGGAAAAATTGCAGTCCGTTGCTTACAACGAAACAAGAACCTTGATATATGAAGATATCACAACTATCTATGAAAAATTGGTTGACAAGTAGGGAAAATGAGTTTTCATTCTTTGAAGAATTAAGAGAATTCTCAGAATTTAACAACCAAAAACTGAAATCTTATTCCTTTTACATGCCTTGAAATAGGCTCCTAACATATTACAAGATAAACACACAAATATCTAAAATACCCTTATTACTTTGGATATGTAAAAGAAAAGGACTAGGTTAAAAAAAAAGACTCAAATACTTTCAAATATCCTTACTAGCAAAAATCTAAGTATTAACTGGAAATATTAAAAAAAGAATTTCAGTGTTGCAAACATAAACAATTTCAGTGTTGAAAAAAAAAAAAAAAAAAAAAAAAAAAATCTAAGGTTTGAATGATAGCTGTCCAACTTTGACTAACACTTTCTATGACCCTTCTCGAATTTGCTTGATCTGAGGTCATAAAATGCATCTTTGAATCTCCTTGCGTAAACTTTTGTCACCGGACAAATAGGGCATTGAATTGGATCCGAACATGCCTCAACCTACGTATTTGGCTTAGTACCAATCTCGATCTCATTATTCCCCTCATCAAAAGGATGTGATCTCAAATTATCACTGCATAAACGGATTAAAATCAGAAATATTAAAGGAAGCACTAATACTATACCTATCTGACAAATCCATCTTGTAGGCGTTGCCATTGATCCTGTTAAGAATTTGAAAGGGACCATTACCCCTGGAAGCAGGTCGGAACGCCATTGTTCTTGGAATTGTTTTTTCTTTATATTAGCCAAATCCAATCTCTTTGTTTAAAGACCAGCTTATTTTGCGTTTTTCTTTGTTATACTTTTTATGTTAAGTTTTGCTGTCTCATGTATTTGCTTATAAAATTTAGCCTTTTTTTTCATCAAAATTATAGCACATAGAAATAAGTAATGGAGACAGATCTAATGAAGTTAACAAATTAGGACCATAATAAAGAATTTCAACTAGTAAATACTTAATAACAAAATGAACATAACAATTATAAGTAAATTCAATGTGGTTAACATTCCTCCCATGTTTTGATATTCTTCTTAATAATGGCTCTGAATAATGTGAAAAAGTTCTATTAATAACCTCTGCCTTAAAATCGGTTTGTGGATGTCGAGTTGTAGAAAATAATAATTTAGTTTCTAATTTTCCTCACAAAGCCTTCTAAAAATAGCTAAAGAACTTAGTCTTCCTATCAAAAATAATTTTCTTAGGCATACCATGAAGTCTTACAGTATCCCTAAAGAACAAATTAGTAATATTGGAAGCTTCATCTATTTTATGACATGAAATAAAATGAGCTATTTTAGAAAATATATCTATCACCACAAATACCAAATTCTTTCCTTTGTTTAAACCTAGGTAAACCTATTTCAGAATCCATAAAAATATCTGTCCAAGATTAACTAGAAATTGGTAGTGGCATGTATAATCTGTGGGGTTGCACTCTAGATTTTGCTTGCCTGCAGTTGATACATCTACCACAATGTTAGGCCGGCACCTGAGCCTGCTGGACCGGTCCAGGTTTATTCCGGGCGGAAGCCAGGCGAACAGGGGGAGGGCAGAAAAGCTAGGGGGCCCACTTGAAGCCAATTTCAAATTGTGGGAGGGAGAATTTGAATTAGTAGGGGTAATTAGGTCTTTTGTAACTCTCATTTCATGTTTAATTAGGGAGATGAGGGGGGAATTAGAGTTATCTTGATTTTGAATGTGATTTGGGAGATCTAGGTTTTTCTTTTGGGCTCTAGGCTACGACTAGAGATTTGGAGAGTTTTTCCTTCCTCTCGAATCGAAGGAAACTTGTATCTTTCTTGTCTTTTGCATCGACTAGTGAAATTCAATCGTTTGCTATTGTTTTTCCTATTTTTTCCTAGATCTCTCTCAGATTTTTTTCCAACTTTTTTTGTGTTTGGTGGCTGTTTTCATAGAAAACAGCGGAATAGTTGATTTTGGCTTAGATCCGATAGGAATCACTTGAAATACTCAGTGGTACTTATCATTGGTATCAGAGCGAGATCCGGGCGGTGGAGGGCTTGTTTTTCACTGTTTCGCTGCAGTTTTTTCGGCAGATTTTTGGTGGATCGGAGGCATCTCGGTTGGTTCCCAATGGCATCTAAGCGGGTAGAAGTCTTGGAGACGAGATGGGTCACTTAAGGCGGATCTGGAGGAGAAGATGCCACATTTAGCGAGATGTGGAAGGGAAATTCATGCCTTGGAGGAGATGATGAAGAAAGTTGGTTGGAAGGGCAAGCACGGGCGGTGCCAGCGGAGGAAAGAGGAGAAAGGTAGTGGAGAGCAGGGGGAAGGAGAAGGTGAATCCAGAAGAGGAAGAGGAGGTGGAACTGTTTGACAGCAAACGGGAGGATCACCTCGGGTCATCAGGCGAGAAGAACATGGAAGGAGAGACTTCCGGGAAGGAGGAGAAGATGATTGGCGACGTCGAGGCCCGAGCCCATTGGACGGCCGTGGGGGGGATCTATAACCACCATGGCGGGGCACGAGGGAAAGATGGCTACGCGGCCAAGGAGGGGAGGATGAGCCCGATATGGAGAAAGAGGAACTTGGGAAGACCCCATAGCTTGGGACAGAGGAGGCCTGGGGGGAATAGGGCAGTGAATGCTGATGGAAGAGGAGAGATTGATGGCTACTAGTATGTGCTTGGAAGGGGCGGCATTTGCTTGGTTCAAGTACATGGATAAGTGGGAACCGGTGAGGTCCTAGAGGGACTTCAAGGAGGCTATCAGGGAGAGATTTAGGGGGAGCAGCCATGGGAGATATCAGAACAGTTCTACGCCTCAGAATACAGGAAGAAATTTGAGAGTTTATGGGAGACATGGAGGGCCTTTCAAACAGACTTTGGGGGGAAAATTTTATGAAGGGCCTCAAACCAGAAATTAGAGATGCGGTGAGGTCATGAGACCAAAAGACCTGAGGGAGGCAATGGAGTTAGCTCAGCTGGTGGAGAACCAGAAGACCAACGCCGACTTGGAGGAACACGCACTCAGGAGGGCCACCAGGACAACCACACTTACTTGGCTCAAAGGGCCAAGCCCAAGCTTCCCTAGGGAGGTGGAAAGGAGAAGAGCGGGGTGAACCAAGATTTGCTGAAGCTTCAAGAAATTGACTGAGGAAGAGATGCAGGAGAAGAGGACAAGGGCTTTATTTCAGATGTGAGGAGAAGTTTGTTCCAGGGCACAGGTGCTAAGGATGCCCCTTCGGGTCTCTCACCGTCTAGCTAGACGGGCGCTGAGAGTGTAGATGATTTCTGATGAGGAGCAGATTGATCCCCCAGTTGGAGAGTAGCCGAGGTTCCCTCCAATTCTGTGTTGGGATTTACTCCTAGCAAATATGACTGAAGGATAAGGGGAAAGATCTTGGAGGGAGGTAAGTGCGCCTGATTGACTAGTGGGCAACCACAATTTTTCATATCCACCAGGTGGCGGAGGAGGCTACAGGGATGGAGCCTACTGAGACAACAGGTAGTTTTATGGGGTGATTGATGGACAGGAAAGATTGAGTCCGCACCGGATCTGTAAAGGGTGGAGATGAGGCTACAGGAGATCAGGGTGGGAAGACTTCCTACCCCTGAAGTTGGGTAGCACAATATGTCATTCTGGGCATGAAAGTGGCTTACAGACCTTGGGGTGAAACCAGATGAACTGGGGGACCAAATGGTGATGAGCTGATTGTAAGAGGGGAGAGAGTTGCAAGCCTAAAAGGGAACCAGGATTGTCCAGAGCTGGGTGTCACTCAGAATTCAATGGGAAAATCATCCATTAGAGGAAGGAGGGGATTCCCCTTTGTGGAGGCCTGCAGAGCCTGAGAGGAGCAGGAGAGGGGGAGATTAAAGCTCATTCCCACGTTGGTTCAGCCTCTTGTGCAGGAATTGACGGATGTGTTCCAACCATCCGGTGGGGCTACCCGACCTGACAGAAGAGCTAGGAGCACCAAGATTATCCTGAAGAGGAGTATCTCCTATCAAGTGTGAGGCTTAACAGAGTACCTCTCAGGTGCATT